AGAAATGAGTCCTTCAAGTTAGAAATCGAGTTTTCCAACTCCTCAACCTTAGCATGGTTGGGTGGACTAGTCTCATAGTCGAAGCGAACCTTTGGAGGCCGCGCGATTATGGGAATTTCGTCTTCGTTACTCAATGTCGACGCCATTTCTTCCGCCATTGTCATTAGTTCTTTCAGCTGGATGGGGTCGTCCTGCCGATTGACTCCAGTCGCGGGGACATTAGCGTTTGCTATCCCGGCGCGAGTTTGATAGCGCTTATTGAATACTTGACTCGTAGCCAAAGCGTTCCTCAAGACTGTACTAAACTCGGAGTCCAAAGTACGCATATAACGTTCACACGCGACTTTGTTGGTAATAATGGCAGGAGGGACTGACAGTCGCTTGTAGTGACTATACATTTGAAGGCCGAAACGCTTCAAATCGCCCTCATCCGTGATTTTGATTCCTCGGTTCTCGCGACAGAGTCTGTCTAGATCTGCCATGGTCCCCGTTTTTCTCTTGGACACCTCAGGGTATCCTTTTAATATTTCGGCCTCGAACTCCGCGACAGTTTTTGTGTCGTCGGAATAGGTATCGAGACCTTCCCATACGTCCATCACTTGCCGCGACGGCAAATAACGAATGTACATGCTTTTCGCTTGTTTGACATCTGTGATGCCACCATCCTCCACGATCTGCGCGCAGTGACGCAAATATGCCTCAATCGACAGGGGATCCTTTTCATCAAGTATAGGTCTACTTGTGTCCCAAGGTTGAGGGATTTTGAACCCAGTCTTTGGAGCCATAGTTGTCGCGACTGAAGTCACAGGGGAAGTAGGGATGTTGTTAGAATTCGCGTTTGTAGCGGTGACGCTACTAGACAATTCTGAGAGGGTTTGTGAGCTAGTCTGAGATCGACTGATTGTCGTCGAACTCGAAGTAGCTGTGTCTAAAGCTGGAAGCTTCGACGTCGAATTCACTCTTTGTTTTCCTTTTGCCTTGGAGGGCAAGGGTGGTAGATACAAAGGTGTTTTATGTCTTGCAGACCTTCGTGGTTTTTCGAAAGGTCCTGAAGTTGAAGCGTTTCCTTCAGTCTCAATCTCCGCTTGGTCCTCGAGAGGTCGCGCAGGAGCTTGGGATCGAAATAAACTGCTTCGCGGGATAAACCCTTGGTCTCTATCCGACGTCGCGGTAAAGAATCCGGTTTATTGATTTTTAAAGTTTATGAAACTTTAGAAGCCCCTCGCGGTGGGCTCCAGATGAAATGCTGAGGGCGCGCTCACAAGTGAATCTACTATGAAAGTAAACCCAAATATAAAACACGTTCACACTCCTCGTAATCAGCTTCTCAGTGTGTGAAAGATGCGAGGGCTTCGGGGTGGACAGAGCACCAGTATCACAACTCTCAATAGACGCAGATCCAATAGTCGCGGAGACGAAGTCGACGACAAGAATTTATATATAGCAAACAATGGTATCTCAACCAATATCTTCTATACGAACACAACCAATCACTAATCCAATCCACAAACAACAATATAACAAGTCAGAACTTAATACGAAGTATTAAGATCCCTTGTAGCGACAGCGTCCAGATGGCGACGCAAAGTCCAAATATCAAGTCGACGCACTGCCAACCGATACAACCAATATACTGAGTCGACGCACTGCCAACTAGTAGAACCAAAATGTCAAGTCGACGCACTGCCAACTGACACAACCAAAGTACTGAGTCGACGCACTGCCAACTAGTAAACCCAAATGCCGCATCGACGCACTGCCAACTAACAGCCAATATCCAATGTCCAAAACCCGAGCACAACTTGTCGACGCACTGCCAAGCAAGAAGTGTGGAACCAAAGTTCTCAAGTCGACGCACTGCCAACTGACCAAAACAACCCGAGCACAACTAGTCGACGCACTGCCAAGCTAGAGGTGTGGAACGATCTCAACAAAGCCCGAAGGCGACGACACTAAATGCCGCGACTAGACCAGATGCGGCGAATCCGGCTTTCTGATGTCTCAAAACTCAAACTCAAATCACAGTAGCTACAAGTGCTCAGGGAGCAACTCGTCGCGACCGGGCAGGGGTGGCAGAACTTCTTAGGGTGGAATCACGCGGCACGCAAATTGTACAAAACAATCTGATATGAGAGTGATTCACAGTCCGGGGGAAAGCTTTTTAATACAAAGAGACGACGTGCTACTTATACTGTCTACGACGCTGCTTAGTAAAGTCCTGTACAACTGCATAGTAGCTACGCTATCTAAGATCGGTTGCCTTTTAGGGTAATTGAAAGTTGAACGATCGGACAGGACCTGAGTGATCAGGACCCCGCCCCATAGTCCATATGATACTTTTGATGTGGGTCAACCCACCGCGTCATACTTTTGGAATACGACGTGCTGGATTGGCCAACGGGTATGTCTTGGCAAGTGAGACCAACGTGGGCGCCCCAAGAAGCCGTATGGCCCTAGGCACGCCAGTCGTTTCCCACATGGCTCGGTTCACGGATCTAGCCGTATCGATTTTAGTGTGTTTGGGTATGGGCGCGACTCGCCGTGACACTTGGAAGTGTCACCGCGACGCGTCCACAATGTCCCGTGATCGAATGGATCCTGACATGTGACAAGTCGTCGTCGTGGCATGATCTGAGGGAACGTCCAACCCAAAACCGGGAGTTGCCGCGACAAGATGGTTTAAGTCTCGTAACGCCAAGTCCTGTCCAGTAGTAGTTCTATTATTGAGAACGTCGCGCATTGCTCAGCCCTTCAGCCCAAGTTCCCATCTGCAGAGAATGACCCTTTTTGAGAAGTCGACGCAACGACAGATCCCTTTGTGGGGAATGGTCGCGGTCCGAGCGTTCGTCACTAATGGCCCTGAGCCTGGTGTAGACTCATAAGACCAGTTCCACAGTAGTGGTCTGACTGCCTTGCTATCGTCGACACTATCCACAGTCGTCGACTGGGCAGTAGACCCTTAAGTCCTACTGAGCGCAACACTGTCAACCGCGACACGATACACCGAGTGGTTCAAGAGTAAACTCTGTAAAAAGCGCAAAAATACGCCCTTACAGAGCTGGTGCAGAGCGCGTCTGGTAGCCAGCCTATCAACGCCGTGGGAAATCATCTCCATGGATCAAATTGGACCCTTGCTGGTCAGTAACAGGTATGATGCAATTCATGTGTGGTATGACACCTTCACCAAAATGATCCATGTCGAACCAATTAGTACTGACATCAGCAGCGAAGGAGTAGCATGGTTAACCAGAGACCGAGTCTTCCACTATCATGGGATCCCTTGCAAGATCATCACCAACAGGGACTCATGATACATCAAAGGCTTCATGAAGGAGACGAATGGGATGTTGGGCATAGAAATGAATCCAGGGACCGCGTATCACCCAATCACGGATGGGCAGACAGAGCACATGAATCAGGAGATCAAACATTATCTCCGCATCTATGTCAATTACCATCAGACGGACTGGTTGGAGTGGCTGGGAATGGCGGAGTTTGCATACAACGACAAGATGAACACGTCCACCAAAATATTACCGTTCTACACGAATCACGGATATCACCCATGGAAGGGAGTGGAGCAGCGGATGGAATTGAGGAACGAGTCGGCGGAGGAATTTGTAAAAAGAATCAAAGAAATACAAGACGAAGCAAAAGCAGCACTAGAAAAAGCAAATGAAAAAATGAAAAAATACTACGATAAACAAAGAAAAGAGGTTCCAGAGTTGAAGGTTGGGATGAAGGTGTACATAGAGGGGGAAAATATCGAGATGGACAGACCATCAAAGAAGATGAGAAACAAGAGATTGGGACCATACAAGATACTGGAGAAGGTTGGAGCAGCCACATGGAAGCTGGATTTGCTGGATATGGACCAGAGACACCCGGTGTTCAACGAGTCACTGTTGACACCCTATCACGAACCACCACCCCATTGCCGAGAGAAGAGACCCGTGGCCAAGATGATTGGAGGAGCAGAGAAATGGGAAGTCAAAGAGATTGTGAAAGAACGGAAGGTCGGCTGAGGGAAACAATACTTGGTCAAATGGAAGGGATGGCTGCATAGCGAGAGCACCTGGGAACCATCACGCCACCTTACCCACGCGAAGAGAGTCCTGAAGGCTTGGCAGAGGAAACAATCCAACCCAGACACACGTGTTTGCCTCCTGCCAACACTCAAAGCCAGACACTGGGACTACCTCATTCACCGCTACAAACCCAAAGACGAGTGCCTTCCATATCCCCAGCGACAACTCTTTGACCCTTACAAGAACGTCTTCATGCCCATTGACCTAGTCGATGAGGACATCGACCCTAGAGAGGGGTAATGTCATAGTTCGACCACTTTTTCATCTTATCATCGACTATCCTATCTTATCTTGGCACAGGTTATCTTATCATGGATCACGGCATCAGACGGTCCGGACTAGGGGTTCCAGGGATTATCTTTATCAATCCAAGGCTGCGTGACATATGCTCTGGAAGGTTCTACTACAACCCATGACCAGTGCTCCATGCGGTACATAGTCTTATGACTCATTAGTTGTAGATATGACTCAGACTGGATTTGGGTATAAATACTGTAGCTACTTGGTTGTATTCTCCAGTCTTTGAATTTACTTCTCTTTTTGACTATTGTTTTTGGTTGATTGTCACAGGGTTACAAGCACGCGAAACTGAATCTGGTCCTACGTGGGCGTCTTGAGTTGATGCTCTCTTTTCTCCGACTCTACAAATCTGAGCAATACTTGGACTGGATCACTCAGGCGGATTTGATTGCAAAGTCAGCGGGGAAGGGAGAGCTTGTCTCTTGACGCATTCGGGAATGGACACTTGCGTTCATCACAGATTCCAATGCATTGCCTGTTGCGGAGTATGGGAAATTCAACACCTCTGTTCTGGACAATGAAGACGTTTCTCAGCACATTCATCTTGGACTGCAGACTTGTAGTGTCTTCATATCTGCACAGGATGTTGTTGACATCTGTTCTTCAGAGGAAATGAAGCCACATCTGGATCTCAAGGAGCCCATTTCAGTTTGCACTGCTCAGCAATGGATGAAGCGCAACAAGTATCAATGGAATTTGCAGCCCAAGGGCATGTACTCTGACTGCCATGAACGTGCTGATGTTGTGGAATATCGGCAGAATGTCTTCCTTCCTCGCTGGATCGAGTACTCCAAGCACACTTGGAAGTGGACAAAGGTCACATCCCAATCCAACAATACCCCAGTTAATGTCACAGCAGAGCACAAGCGTACCAAGCGCCAGATGGAGGAGAGTCAATTCAAAGAGTGGGAAGAGGATTGTGTCTTTGTGGCTGGTCCTAACGGTCAAATCATTGTGATCTGGTGTCACAATAAATCAATCTTCTACAGACACGACCGTTGTCAGATTTGCTGGGTCAAAGCCTCCGAAACAGCGATACCACTGCCAAAGGGTGTGGGCAAATCCTGCATGGCAATTGGTTTTGTCTCTCCGGACCATGGTTGGGCCGCTCTCATGTCTATCTGTCCTGGCGCAAGTTGGGATGGTTATTACAGGAATAAAGAGATTCTCAAGCATGCCATGGTAATGATGGATTATCTGGATGCTAATCATCCAAACGAGAAGCATGTTTTTGCATATGACAATGCAACTAACCACACAGCACTTGCCGCAGATGCCCTCTCTGCACAGAAAATTCCTGTCAACATGCTGGGTGTCAATAAAAAGACTGGGACTCAGAAGAATTGGTTTGTGAAGGCAAAGGAGGATGGGAAGGATGTCACAGTGCAAATGCAAGTTGCAAAATTTGCTGATGGCACCACACAGTCTCTTTACTTCCCCATGGGCCACCCAAAAGCCGGTGTGTTCAAAGGAATGCAGGTCATCATTCAAGAGTGCATTGCTAAGGGCGCCAACCTTCCTGATCCCACCAATCTCAAGGCCAAGTGCCCTGGATTCAGGTGCCCACCCGGTAGCATGGATTGCTGTGCTCGACGTGTTCTCTTCAATGAGCCGGACTTTTGCAATCAGAAGTCCAAGCTCAAGGAGCATTGTGCAGCCCGTGGCTTTGACGTTCTCTTTTTCCCAAAATTCCATCCCAAATGCAACTTCATCAAACAATGTTGGGGATACACCAAGCAAATCTACAGGATGTTCCCAATGTCCTCTAGCAAAGATGATCTTGAACGGAATATGAATGCCGCCTTGAATTTGGTCCCGCTCAACAGTATGCAAAAGTGTGTCAGATCATCTTCCCGAAGCTATTTCTCATGTCCTTCAGGTTTGCAACACGCTCTGATCGGTTTATTGACGCATACCAGAAAGTTCTTGACAGGAATCAGGCTGTGTGGGCTAGCAAGTGTTATTGTGGTCACCGGTGAAATGCTGAGGGCGTGCTCACAGGTGAATCTACTATGAAAGTAAACCCAAATATAAACACGTTCACACTCCTCGTAATCAGCTTCTCAGTGTGTGAAAGATGCGAGGGCTTTGGGGTGGACAGAACACCAGTATCACAACTCTTAATAGACGCAGATCGATAGTCGCGGAAGACGAAGTCGACGACAAGAATTTATATATAGTAAACAATGGTGTCTCAACCAATATCTTCTATACGAACACAACCAACACTAATCCAATCACAACCAACAATATAACAAGTCAGAGCTTAATACAAAGTATTAAGATCCCTTGTAGCGACAGCGTCCAGATGGTGAAATACCGAGTCGACGCACTGCCAACTAGTAGAACCAAAATGCCGCGTCGACGCACTGCCAACTAACAGCCAATATCCAATGTCCAAAACCCGAGCACAACTTGTCGATGCACTGCCAAGCAAGAAGTGTGGAACCAAAGTTCTCAAGTCGATGCACTGCCAACTGACCAAAACAACCCAAGCACAACTAGTTGACGCACTGCCAAACTAGAAGTGTAGAAACGATCTCAACAAAGCCCAAAGGGCAACAACACTAAATGCCGCGACTAAACCAGATGCGGCAAATCCGACTTTCTGATATCACAACTCAAACTCAAATCACAGTAGCTACAAGCGCTCAGGGAGCAACTCGTTGCAACCGGGCAGGGGTGGCAGAACTTCTTAGGGTGAAATCATGCGGCACGCAAATTGTACAAAACAATCTGGAATGAGAGTGATTCACAGTCCGGGGGAAAGCTCCCTAATACAAAGAAACGTCGTGCTACTTATACTGTCCACGACGATGCTTAGTAAAGTCCTCTACAACTGCATAGTAGCGACGCTATCTAAGATCGGTTGCTTTTTATAGAAATGAAAAGTTGAACGATCGGACAGGTCCTGAATGATCAGGACCCCGCCCCATGGTCCATATGGTACTTTTGATGTGGGTCAACCCACCGCGTCATACTTCTGGAATACGACGTGCTGGATTGGCCCACTGGTATGTCTTGGCAAGTGAGTCCAACGTGGGTGCCCCAAGAAGCCGTATGGCCCTAGGCATGCCAGTCATTCCTCACATGGTTTGGTTCACGGATCTAGCCGTGTCGATTTTAGTGTGTTTGGGTATGGGCGCAACTTGCCGTGACACTTGGAAGTGTCACCGCGACGCGTCCACAATGTCCCGTGACCGAATGGATCCTGACATGTGACAAGTCGTCATCGTGGCATGATCTGAGGGAACGTCCAACCCAAAACCGGGAGTTGCCGCGACAAGATTGGTTCAATCCCGTAACGCCAAGTCCTGACCAGTAGTAGTTGTAATATTGAGAACGTCGCACATTGCTCAGCCCTTCAGCCCAAGTTCCCATCTGCAGAGAATGACCCTTTTTGAGAAGTCGACGCAACGAAAGATCCCTTTTTGGGGAATGGTCGCGGTCCAAGCGTTCGTCACTAATGGCCCTGAGCCTGGTATAGACTCATAAGACCAGTTCCACAGTAGTGGTCTGACTGCCTTGCTATCGTCGACACTATCCACAGTCGTCGACTGGGCAGTAGACCCTTAAGTCCTACTGAGCGCAACACTGTCAACCGCGACACGATACACCGAGTGGTTCAAGAGTAAACTCTGTAAAAGCGCAAAAATACGCCCTTACAGAGCTGGTGCAGAGCCTGTCTGGTAGCCAGCCTATCACCGGGTTCTTCCAAAGAACAGCATGTCCTTGTTTGAGAAGTTTGGGCCTCAGAAACAACAGTAGTTACATTCTAGATATGTTTTTTATTGATTTGCGGACTCCTCGTGCCACCTGTGGCCCAAACGTTGGCAGAGACAAAACCGCGCGCCTGATTTGCCGCGTAACGCATAACGCGTGACTATCACGTGCACGCTTGTAGGCAGTGCCTGTCGCCTATCTTAGGTACCCTCGGAATGCAGTGATTGCAAGACCTCTTGTTTACTCTCATCCCAAGATTTTTTTAGGGCACCAATATCACCAATCATCAGAATGAAAAAGCAAGCTGCAGCTGCCCAGCTTCGGCCACCTAGAGGTGGTACCGAGGTTCAGCCATTTAGACAGGCTGATCCTCAACTTTGAGATCTGATCGCGCGACTGATGATCAACGCTGCAACAAACAGCGCTACACTGCCTTTCAGCGTTTACCATTGACATCGTACAGATTGCTTCCCATGTCGCGCGTCTCCCCATTTCCACATCTTTCGCACATTCGATGGCCCAGTCCCAGTTATCCTGTCCCTATGGCGGTGGACCCCCAACAAACACTGATGTCAGTGGAGTCGGCGTCCGCTTCTCTTTTTACCTCCAGACTCTATTTCTGAGTACGGCGCCTTTCCACTGGTCTCGACTGCTCTTATCCAGAATTCACACTCCAGGTCTCCTCTGCGCGCGATCGAGCGAGATTAGCGAGATTATGAACGCCTTGTACACCTTGATGTTCACAAACATGGCAATGGCAGTGACGGCGCTCATTCTGGGATTTGAGGCCCAGCCAGAGATAAGCTTCCCTGAGTGCGTCTTGCTCCCTCCCCGAAAAGGCATGAAACCAAAAGTATCTACCGCAGCGGCCTCGTGATATCGTACCTGCTCAGCCTCTCCACCCTTGCGATCGTCGTGTCATTCCCCGCCTGTGCCAGACACTCTCTCAACGACAAAAAACTGACCGTCTTTTTCATCCTGCACTGCCTGGCGGTCTTTGGGTGGGGATTCTCACTTCTGATTTCCGCACCCACCTTTGGCAACGCACCGTTGTGCAACTCCAACGCCGTGGTGGCAATCTTCCATCCCTTCCGAGCCCTGCCAGCGGGGCGTGTCATAGGACTATTGGGCGTCTGTCTCGCGCTCATCTTCGTCGTGCTACTGCTACTGAAAGATCACATGGCTTGGGCGGGGACTGTTGTGCCCGTGTGGATCCTGCGCCGCGTGACAATACAGATCTCGGACGGTTCGGGACAATCGGTGGATGCCATAGATGACCCAGATTCTGTTTCAGTGCGACCTGGCAGTCGAGGTCCTGCATCATATCCGAGCAGGCAAGAATATCAATCACAGCGCGACGGGAGGGCAACGGTTCAGGTGCGCAGCGCAGTGCACTCACGCATATACTGTTTATGCGAGCGACCCTACGCTCATAGCAGGGGTACGACCTCCAGATCATGTGGCCGATGATACTTAACATGAGCGTCACACTGGTGCTGTGGATCCCCGCTGTGGTAAACACGGAGCTGCTCATTCGGTGGAATAACCTGACATCGGCGGCTGGAAGCTCGTCTTGGCAGTTTGGACAGGTGCGTCTCTCGTCGTCGTGGTCGTTGTCAATGCGACGCGTGAACAACTTCGAGGTCTTGCCAATGTTTCTTGTCGTTCTACCACTCATCGATTTGATCAACTCATTCCGGAAGCACGGTATTAAAACAAGCCACCGTGCTCTCGAGGTTTCTGCGCCGTAGCTGGTCTAGATAATGCGTGCAATTCAATCTGTCGTGTCTCAAAGGTTTCAAGTCTTCTTCTTGCATTGCCTGAATCGTAATCCGAATCTTGCCGGTGTCAGGATTAGTTTCTGCTGGCTATCTATCTGAGACAGACTAGGCCCTGTTCATTACTTCTGACGGTCGGTGACCATCGAGACTCCCGGATTTCACCCGTAAATTCCGAGGAAGCGTTGGAGTGATTAGTCTGAAAGAACATCTCGAGCCATGCTCCCGGATTCTGTGATCCAAATGCGTCGACAAGATTCTGAAGTGACGCGGGCGTTGATGACTCAAATGCTTGACTGACAAATCGGAAATGACCGAAGTCGGTTTTTGATCCGTGATCACCCTTCCTTCTGCTTCGTCTTCTCTACTTCCTCCCTTACAGCCGGAAACTGGCGCAGAACATGCGGGCCGCTTATCCCATGCACACAAGCACAATGCAGGGTGGAGGGGGTTACTGTGGCTACACTTATGTGTAACGAGGTAATTGTAAGCCACGGCAGAGGAATGAGTCAGCTTCGTGCCATGAAGGGAACCATTGGAAGTCATCTATGGGTCCGCAGCGCACTGTGATTGGTGGAAGCTGCCGTGAATCCGTCCCTCGGGGCTTTCCGTAGGCCCAGGGTCGTCCGAATCATCGCCGCCGGGCGGCCCGAAGTTGCTGACTTGCACCTCGTTTCGTCCCTTGCCAAAATGATTCTACCACATTCTCGTGATGGGGATAGACGCACGACCTTTATATAAGGAGCTCGTTGACATATGAGGTCCGGATTTCGTTTCCCCCACTCTCCACAACATCGAAACGACCACCGATATCATCAATCCTGAGTACTAGTACGGGCCCGGAAATGACTCGCAACCTCAATGTGTTTCCGGCATCCCCATCACGGTCCGTGCGGCATAATCTTCCCAGGGGCAAAGCGTGCATGAGCTGTCGGTGAGTTCGTTCGACGCGTCTCGCGTTATATGACATCGGACTGAATTCGTGCGACTGTTCTCCCAGGCGGAGGAAAATCGTAAGTCAGCTTTGGCCTCACGTCACGCGCGCTGACATGTGTGTCACGCACACACAGAAGTGCGATGGTCGGAAACCCGCATGTGGGCAGTGCACGCGCTCGTCCGCCTCGGGGATAGTCTTCGATGAGTGCGAGTATCCGCTCGAGGGACGCAGCCGAACGCAGCAGCTGGAGGAGACGGTGAAGAAATTGCAGAGCCGGATCGGAGAGCTGGAGCTCGCGGCGGGCGGTGGAACCGGTGGCGTGACTCTGCATGAGCCGTATGGGGGTGAGGATGTCGTTCTTGCGTCGCCAGGTGCCATAGAAAACGGTGCTGGGACGTGGCAGTGGAGTATGCCCGCTTCTCCCCGGTCGACGTCGCGTAAGTCATGTGTGCAGACGACCGGTCAGCGCACTCATTATAGCTCTCATTCAGCGCCAAGTCGTTTGGCATCGCCCTCATCTAGCTCTTCTAGTCTCCTTTTTGAGGTGCGTGGGACCGTTGTGACGAGATTAGCCCTGCCTCACCGGATTTGGCAGGATCCGCCCGCCGATGTCAGCGAACGATTGTAAGGCGTTCGCAACTGCGTGGCTCGGATTGAGAGCTCACTTATCTACAGGGTCGACTCCTTCCTGACACACTTCGTACAAGTCGGATTCTTCCTGGACCGGGCCGCGTTCCGACACTCTGCCCTCCTCAATGTCTCGCCCGGTCATCCCCAGCGTCCGTCGCCTGCACTTCTCAGTACCGTCTACCTCTGGGGGGCGCGTCTCTCACGAATCTGCGGCGGCGAGACTCACGCAGCGCATCACGAAGACAGATTTCTGCGCTGCGCACTGCAGAACATGCACCATGACCTCGCCGGGCAGCATCCACGTCGCGTGATATATGCCATCCAAGCTGAGGTGTTGCTATCCCTGTATTATTTGACGCTCGGGCGTGCCATGGAAGGGACTTACCACTCGAGTGCGGCTGTGTCGCTGGCGATGAGCGCCGGACTGCACCGCATACAATCGTCGTCGGAGAACAACAATGCGACGCCGAACCCTGGCCTCAGGGCGACGCCGCCTCTGCCAGAGCCTGAACGAATCAATGCATTTTGGACGGCGGTAATAGTTAACAACTATTGGGTCGTAGCGCACGGGTCTCCGAGCGCGATTTCCTACACGGACACTCGCGTCGACACACCTTGGCCGCTCGATCTGGCAGAGTATCAGAGCGGCGCAATCGACAATTTTGGGGGCGGGAACACAATCGGCAAGTTCCTGGGGGGCGTCAGTGTGGACGGATTTTCGTCGCTCGCATTGCATGCCAAAGCGTCGATACTGCTTGAGCGTGCGGTGTCGTGTGCAGGTCCGTCCTCAGCTGTCCGGGGCCCATCAATTGTGATTGACTCGACATCGCAGATAAAACACAGAGCCAGGCCTTCGATTCGCTCGATATCGTCCTGGAGCAGTTCATGGACGGCCTCCCCCTCGGTATCCAGCTTTCATTCGCCCCGGTTCCCAAACGGTGTCTAGTAGTCATCCAGACGCTGACACAAGCTGCAATCATACGGCTCCACGCACATCGCAGACATACATCCGAAGCTTCGCGACAGAGGTATATTGCTGCCGCGCGGGATGCGGTGCACATCATCAATAACTCCGACTTCTCTGAGTGGCGGAACATAGATCCCATTATGACGGTCAGTCATGCATGCTTCAAGGAGTGGCTTTCGTTTCTTGATGGGCAGCTGCAGATTCTGTGGACCACGGTCTGCGATGTATTCATCGGCGAGCTGACTGAAATGCAAACATTCACAGCTGTGGGCCGGTTAACGCCGCAGCACCAGGACGTGTGTGTCTATCTCGACACTGTACTGCGCACAATGCGCTATTTCTCGGCTGGCAACCCTCTGCTCGGTGCGTCAGATTCGCCATTTCACAAACATCCCGGGTTCTCAATTCATTGCCAGACCATTCCTTGAACAGGATAGAGCGAACATATCGCAATCTTGTTGTGTCATGATTTTTTGTGCTTTTGTGAAGTATGGGCTGTATAATACTGTATTGTATCACGGATTAATGCGTGTCGTCTGTGGAATTCTAGAGATCGACTTTACTTGCAACAATAAAAAAAATCGGACTAGTACGATTCAGATTTGCTGGATGAACATTTTCCCAGTGTCAGAAAAGTGTGCAGACCTTAACATGCCCCTGTCGTCAGGCCAAGCGATCACTCTACTTCACTCTGGTAGATAAACATCGTGAGATGACGGAGGACAGGTGGCATATCGAGAGCAGGGCAGTGCTCGGAACCGTTGAACACATGGATCGTATCTGATTCTTAACAAGGTTCTCAAACACGTGATTTACCACCTGTGGCGAAATCAAGTGAAAGAGTCAAATAGGTGTTGCATGACAGGTAGATCGCAGATGCCGACAAAGGAAAATCCGTCCTAATCGAACAATGCGTACCAAATACCATGGGCCACTAGCGGTCTCAGCTACGGGGAGACCCCGACAAGGCCTTATCTCTATCGTACTCTGTTCCCAATCGCCTCGAGGAGTAGACGCGTCATGTGTATATCCCGACTTTTTAGCGATCTGAATGAAAAATTACGAATCTAACTTCTGAGAGACGGTCGTGGCATGGAATGCTACACGAAGAAACGAGCGCGAGCTGCAATCCACCTCGCCCGATCTCCGCAGTGCGCGGTAAATCTCCACGTCAGTCCAGAAATCCCGACCCGTCGCACATCTTTTCTGCTTACTGAGGAAGAAATCCCGGCAGATAGATGAGCATCCGCACAACTCCACTTCCATACCGAGGTCCGTCACGATATCGATTCCCCTTCTTCTGCAGATTCTCACGACAAGCCAAATTAAAGTATCAGGGTGTTCGTCTAATCCAGTATCACATCCCAGGAGTATACATCCAGATTCATCGGCTTCGAGAAGCACAACACACCGGCGCGGTGAAGCGCAGGAAACGAATCTTCCATGGTTTTCCTGAACACAGAAACTGTCGTTTCCCAGTCGTGCACCGCCCCGGGGTGTTCCTCGACATGAAGCGTGCATTCCACGCTCCGCAAAGCGGGAAATGACGCCCGAAAATTCGGGGTGTCGATCAATCGGAAGTCTTCCACTGGGAAAGTTTTGCTCTCTGGAGAAGAGCGAAGCGGACCGGATTGGATGCTAAGAATGACGAATTTGAGGCTCATCGCAGCCCCGCATGATTTGAGCGCGGGGAAGATTGGGCGGACGCTGAGAGTAAGGCTTCGATCACGAGAATCCGCCACCAGGAAGGCACGCAGCGTAAGCGTGTGCAGGCTAGGGAGACAGGGTAGGCTCAAAAACGTATTCAGATTCCCAAAACGTGGTATGAGCGTGAGTTCCTGCACTGCGTGAGCGGTGCTGCCGAGGAGGTGCAGGGGCAATTCATGGCCGTCAACCCCTACCACCAGAAGATGCCGCGGCAGCACTTCCTGGTGCACTGCCCGCAGGAGTCTTAGCACATGCGGTGTCAGAGCTCCATGCGGAAGGATGCAGCTATCGAACTGGCATGCGGTGCGCGCTGACCGAGAAAACACGAGTGCCACAAGGGGCCGTTCACTTCGCGGCACGCGAATCCAGATGCATAGCGTCTGTACAGATGTGGACGAGAGGATCCCCTTGATGAGCATCCCATCCGACCGGAAACTCCGATGAATCTGTACGACCGACATGCTAGGAAGGTGCGCAAGGCGGACAACCAGAGTCGCTAGAGGCTTCCACACCGCAGTGGCGTCGTCCGCGTCGATATCCGACCCAAAACTGTCCCCAAATATCTCGCATACTGGGAGTTGCATCCGCAAAATCGTCTCCAGCAGAATCCCGATGGACTTTTGTGCCTCAAGTCGACGGGGGACGAAGATGACGAGCTTCCGCAAGTACGAGGCGATGCGCGCCGATGCGACGAACTGTTCGTGGATCCTCTGGCCTTTTCTTGTTGTTGATTTATCCAAAGTTAGCGTTCGGAACAACGCACGCTGCGCTGGTATCCGGAGCGATTGGCCCGCGAGTGCACAGGATTTGAGCGTCTTTTTGCAATGGATGGAGCTGATGATGATCTCTCGCAGCTCTTGTGGAAGATGTGGCAAGGGCGCTGGATGGGTTTCAAGTGATAGAGCCGGAATATGGTCCCTCATGATCATTGAGAGCTCCTGACACAAAACGACCTCCATTTGGAAGTTCGGCGTTCAAGTTTAATCACTTAGTGACGGTAGGGGGTAAAGTGCAAACCTACGCTGTGTCCGTTTTGATCCGACATACTGATGTGAGATCGGCCGCGAACACGATTATGACGTGCTTAGCCGATGAAACTCGCAGTCTCGCTGCGTTTTGGCCATGTCGGTCATTTTCTGATGTACCCTCGAAGAACAGTTGGTAACATCGGGACTGAAAAACAAGAGCGGAGAGAGCATCCGATCATTTTCAATGAACTACCCACACTATGTGCTTAGATTGAAGTCTGATCTCATCACCACACGACTGCTTGAAAATTTCCATGTCCGACCGGCTTCACAGTTCGCAATAAGAAATTTACGAGAAGTTTTTTGGGGGTTAAGGCCTGAGTGAACTGTCAACAAAAGCGACGCTCCCGGGCGCGTTTGATACATATGAAGCAACCAGGATATGAACCAGCAGCCATCGCAGCACTAGTCACGGGTGCACTTGGCCTTCCTGACCCAGGCGCGTTGCCCGCCAACACTGAAAAAGTTGCCCCTGAACCCGCTGGCCAATGGGGAAATTATTAAGCGAACTGGTACAGAGCAAGTAAGACCGATCTATTATGTATACAGACCAGATAGAATAGTGTACGCACCTGGTACAGAGCAGGTAAGACCGATAGGGTCTACTGCTCTGCCCAGGTCACATTAGATGTCACGGTGTAATCCAATCGATTATGTTATCGGCGTTGGTCACCTGATAACACCCCCCCATGACCCACGTCGAGGTTGAGCATTTGGATCCACTTCGAGTGTGTCGGTTGCGCCAATGGCTTCGTGAATAGGTCGGCGACCCACGTGAATGACATCGATGAGTCGGCGAATTGTGCAGTCACGGATGAAGTGCTCGCGGATGGCTATGTGCTTCATTCTGGAGTGAGCGTGTGGGTCATGCATGCATGCAACCGTGCCCTGGTTGTCACAGAACAGGGTAGTCGCATGTCGTTGGGTGAAGCCTAGCTCGTGGAAGAGGTTGCGGAACCACAGGACGTCCTTGGCACAATGAGTGGTGGCGAGATACTCAGCTTCGCAAGACGACAACGCAACGACTGCTTGTTGCTTCGAGCTCCAGGCTATCGGTGATTTCCCCATGAGAATGACAAAGCCAGAGACCGATTTCCGAGTCGAAGGGTCTGTTCCCCAGTCAGAATCGGTCATGGCAGTGAATGTCGGTGGCTCGGACTTCGGTTTGTTACCGCCTAGCAGGATGCTGTAATGGCTAGACCATCGCAGGTAACGCAGCAGCCGCTTTGCAGCTGCCACATGAGCTGGACCGTATGACACCATATGCCGAGCTAGTTCCCGAACCGTGAAAGCAATATCTGGTCGCGTGCAAGTCGTGAGGTACATACACTTGCCGACAACTCCAGCATATGGGAAGTCTTTGACGAGCTCATGCTCCTCTGCAGTAGCCGGGGACAACCGCACGTTCGCTTCCATTGGGGTCTGGACCGAGTTGCATTTCTCCATCCCGTAAGTGCGCAAGATGGATTCAACATATGTCTTCTGGTCGAGCCGGATTCCGTCGTCGTCACGTGTGATGGAACAGCCAAGGTGGAACTTTGGTTCGCCGTTGTCGGTGATCTCGAACTGCTTCGCAAGTTCTTCGACAACTAGGTTCGACTCCTTGGTGGATGACGAGGCAATCAGCATGTCGTCAACGCTGGCGGTGAGGTAAGATCTCTCTGCTCCTCGTGTCCTGGTATACACGCTCCAGTCGGACTCCGTTCGTTTGAACCCAATAGCCTCCAGTCGTGAGTTGAGTTCGAGGTACCATTGACAACCCGCCTGTTTCAGGCTGTACAGACCCTTGAGAAGTCGCCAAAACCCTTCGCCTACAATGGATGGCATGCGCATGTATATTTCTTCATCAAGCAGTCCGTTCAGGAAAGCTGTCTTGACGTCGACCTGGCGGAGAACCATGTCGTAATCGGCAGCTAGGGCCAGAACCAGGCGAATGGCTTCCCATCGTGCAACTGGGGCGAATGTGTATGTGAAATCCTGGCCAGGTATCTGCGTGAAGCCTTTGGCAACCAGACGCGCTTTGAAGCGGGCGATCTTCCCATCTTGGTCGCGCTTGAGATGTAGAACCCACTTGGACTTCACTGCTGTCCTGCCTGGCGGGAGCCTGTCCACCTCCTCATAGACTCCCTTTGCCTTGAGAGACTCCAGTTCCTCGTGTAGAGCAGCTAGCCAGTAGTTCCAGTAGATACTGGCTTCGGCTTCATGCAGTGATTGGGGGTCTCGAGCGTCGGGATCGTCAATTGGGTCGGTGAGTGCAGCCAAGACAGTTTCTTCCGCAGTTTGAACACTGGCTTCAGCTCTTGCCATGACCAAAGTGACAAGTGGGAGTTCCTCCTTCTCGCATTCGATCTCAATCTCGTCGCCGTGTTCCAGTACCTGCTCTAGTATCCGTCCCCCCTCGACCTCAGAGAGGTTGATCAGAAAACGAGCAGGTATTCGGCGGACTCGAGTCGATCGGGGCGCCTCAGCCATAGGAACGTCCTCACTTCAGACCAATGAGATGTCATCCCAATAAGGCTGGAAAGATACGCACGTCGGAGCAACATCGGGTGAGTCATGCACAAAGGGCATGTCCGTTGAGCTCCTGGACGGCGGTCAGTCATTGAAGACTGGACATAATAGATTGTAACTCACGCTTCTGAGGGCGGGGTCTTCGTCGCTGAAGACGGCATCGGGGATTCCGGAATGTCAGCCACCGACGGCGACTTCGTCGCTGAAGACGGCATCGTCTCTGAGGACGGCATCGCCTCTGAGGACGGCATTGTTACATCTTCCCTGTCCAAACCAATTCGTATTTGACCATCGCCCGATCTGGCGTCGCGCCCAGTCAGACCATTGTCCCAAAGTATATCCGAGAGCGGAACAGGAGGTAGAATGTCGGGGAATCCGTGGAATCAAACGTCACGCCTGGAACGAATGGTTCTCGACTTGGGGAACCATATCAGGTAGCCCTTGGAATCGCGTGCATAGCCAACAAAACGTCCCTCCTCGCCTTGCGGTGTGAGCTTCATGAGGGTGTCAGAAGTTGTCTTGCGTGCAGTGACCAGTGCACCGAAAGGACGGAGGTGTGAGAGGTCGGGTTTGCGATGGAACCACAGCTCGAACGGCGTTCTCTTGCCGGCGAGGGATTGATGTGGCACACGGTTTTTGATGTGCACCGTGGCTTGCGCAGCGAGTGGCCACAGGAACATGCTCAGTTCACCGTCTACCAGCATAGCACGCGCACCTCGTTCAATGATCTGGTTAACTCTTTCTGCCCCCCCAACCTGCTGGGACGCATCTGGAACCGTTTTCTCGTACCCAATCCCATTGTTGTCGCAGTATTTCTCGAATTGGCCGTGTATGAGTTCAGGTGTGTTGTCGCATCATAGTTTGGTGATCGGGTGGCCGAGAAACTTCTCAGTCACAGCGCGGAATGTCTTGAACGCGGCCAGCGCGTCGGATTTTGTTTTCAGAAAGTAAATGGAGATGAATCGAGAGTAGTCGTCTATAAAAGTGATCCAGTACTGGAAACCTCCATAGCCGACAGGAAATGGACCGCAAATGTCGGTATGGATTCTAAAAAGTGGGGTATCAGCGCGGTGTGTGGCTTTGTGGGGAAAAGGGAGGCGTTTGATATTGGCGAGAGCGCAAACTCGGCAGCTCTCGACATGGACATTGTCGACAGGCAAGCCTGTCGTGGTGTCGCGCAACCCTTTAACGTCTATATGGCCAAGGAGACGGTGGTAAAACCCCGTCGCTTGGCATCTGGGGTGTCCGCGGAACCAAACATGGATGCCGTCGACGGGATCATCGCGGCGATCCATTGGTCCGTCTCAGAATCACGTGCCTCCACCTTCTTCACCACCTCCGCACTTAGCGCGTACAGCCCATTCATCACCTTCCCTTCCGCAAACGGGACATATCGTCCACTGGATGTTGGAGCGAAGTAGCGCAAGGCACCAAGTCCAGTCTCCGTCTTTACGCCGCGTTTATCGATCTGTGAGCACGAGATGAGGTTGCATCTGGCAGACGGAACCAGAAGGGCATTGGTCAGGGTCCACGTGTGTTGCTTTCCATCCACAGTTGACACTAGTTTGACGTTTCCCTTTCCAACAGCCTCAGTTTGTTGCCCAGTACCAAAACCGTTCACACCAAGAGGACGGTCAAACTTCTGGAATTCTTCAAATGCGTCGCGGCTGTTGAAGATATGGCGTGTCGCCCCAGTGTCGTGGTGGATTCGGTCGACCTGGTCGGGCTGAGCGGTGAAAGCGATGGCATTGATGGTCGGTTCCTCGTCGTCCGGTGGTACTCCCACATTGACCATGAACACTGTTGCCATCTCGTCTTCAACGGTTGACATCGCGGCCTGCACCTCATCCTCACTGTCGGCTGTGTCGTCAACCATCCCAGCAAAGCGCTCTCCTGCACGCAGCGGTTTTCCAGCTTTAGCTGCGTCCCGGCGAGCTGCAAGACGTTTGTCTGGGGGAAGATGGACAAAGAGGTTGCCTCGGTAGCGGTTACTCAGGTGGTATTGTCCCTCTTGACCACCACCAAAAGCAAAACACCGATCCTTGGTGTGTCCTCCCGGAGACTCGCACGTAGGGTTGTCGCAGTACACCGACAGACGACCGTCGGGACGTCTGGGCAGATAAGGTTTTGCGATGTTGCGTGCTGGTGGATTTGCGCTGCGCCTACGGCTCTTCGATCCCCCCGCTCCCTGGTGTGTGGCAGCGAGAACGTTTGCCTGGCTCTTGCAGGTGCGGTTTGCCACAACGTTGTTAATTTGGACAACTTGCGCTCCCATTCCCTGGTCGATCTCTTCGCGGCGAAGACGCCTGAGGACGAGCTCCGAATCGAACTGAACACTGTTGAGCGTGCCAACACTCATGGCGTCGCGCAGTTCACTGTGAGTATGCTTCCACTCTCCAGTGTTGCACATCAGAGTGACCAAGTTCCTAGCATATTCGTCATCGGACATGAGGGCTGGGTTCAGCTCCTGGAGCTTGGAGTAAAGTTCCTCCATCATCTCTCGCCACTCAACCGGGTCGTTGTCGCATTTCGAGCTGCAGATCTGCTGCTTGATTTTGATTGCAAGAACATCGTTGGCCGGTTCGTAGTGCTCGCGAAGAGCAAACCAGAGTTCGCGAGCCGACTTTGACTTGCCAACCAGTCTGGCGCGATTGGCAGGTACGGAGTTGATCAGCATAGCCAAGGTGCGTTTGTCGCCTTTGATCCAGGACTCCGCTGACCTCAGAGCAGCCGCATGCGCCTCCTCGTTCCCTGCAATGGTGATAGTTGCAGGATTCCCGTTGGCGTCGACACCGGTCATTTGCTGAGTGGTGACAAGGGGTGGAATGCTGGGTGGCTTGTAATCAGGTCCATCAATGTACTTCCACTGTCCCAACACATCTAAATGCGCTTTCGCTTTCATCTTGAACTCCGAGTAAGAGTTTCCTCCTTCGCCATCTTCTTTGATCGCAACCAAGATCTTCAAGGACTTCTCCTCATCAGGTGTGGTTGTATAGTACGACAGAGTAGCCATGGCAGTTGTGTTGTGAGGCTGAATAAAGCTGAGGGCGTTCTGAGAAAAAGGAAGATGTCGATAGGGGCTGTTCTCGGGGTATTCGGGCAGTCTAGAGACGTCCGGGGCCCATAACCTATTAAGCGAACTGGTACAGAGCAAGTAAGACCGATCTATTATGTATACAGACCAGATAGAATAGTGTACGCACCTGGTACAGAGCAAGTAAGACCGATAGGGTCTACTGCTCTGCCCAGGTCACATTAGATGTCACGGTGTAATCTAATCGATTATGTTATCGGCGTTGGTCACCTGATAACAGAAATCGAGTGTATATTCCGACTTCCAGTATGTCTCGTGAACAAGATTTGCGAATCTGCAGCCTAGGCCAGGATCTCGCCTTCCGTTACCAAACACAGCAAATCAACCAAGCTCACAATACACCTCGCCTGCCCTCCGCAGCAAGCAGTCATCCTCCACATCAGGCTAGAAATCCCGACCAGTTGCACATCTTTTTTGCAGCTTGAGATTGCCATCCCGGCAAGTTAGATGAGTGTCGAACCTGCGCAATTTATCATGATATCCATTCCCATGTTCTGTAGACAAAGTACGTATCGAAGTAGCATCTAGCTCAGTATTAAATCCAAAGAGTTCCATCCAGGCGCATCGGCTTCGGGAAGCGCAGCACACCAGCGCACTCGAACGCAGGAAAAGAATCCTCACTAACCCCTTCCTGAACACCGAAACGGTCGTTTCCCAGTCATGGGTTATCCCGGCTTCATCTTAGTAACGGAGTGTGCATTCCAGGCTCCGCAAAGTCGGATGCGATTCCCCATAATCGGGCCCGTCGATCAATCAAAAATCTTCCACCGGGTATGCAGGACACTGTTGAGAGAAGCAAAGCAGACCGGACCGGATTCCTAGAAGAATCCATTCAGCTGGTCGAGGCGCCACATGATTGATGCGCAGAAAAAATACTTGGAGGATGAAATGAACGCTGCGGCTGAGATATTTTAACGCCAGGAAGGCGCACAGTGGGGTGTGCAAGCGTGGGTGATGGGGTAGGCTGAACGGCTCATCGGGCTCGGTGCATGTAGAACTGATGTCAGGGTCTGAACCATGTCGGTGGTGATGCCAAGCCTGTGAGTGGGGAATCTGGCGCCGTCAACCTCTACCACCGCAAGTAGCCTCGGCGGTGTTCACTGGTCCGCATGAAGGAGGAAGCGCGACACATGTGGTGCAGATCGTCATGTGGAATAATATAACGATCAAACTCGTATGTTGTGCACGCCGACCGGAAGATCACCAAGGCGGCAGGATCTTTTACGCTAACATGCGTGGGAGCCCCGACACCCAGCGACTGTATAGATGTGAGCGAAATAATCCCCTTGACGAGTTTCCCGTCCGCTCGGAAACCTCCATGCATCTATACGATCGACACGTACGGAATATGCGCGATGCGGATGGTCAGAGCCGTTGACCGGCTCCATCCTAAAAGCTGTCGTTGAGGTCGAAATCCAACGGGAGAGTGAACACGAAAGTATCACATACTGGAAACTGCATCCGCGGAATTGTTCTCGGTTGAGAAAAGATCCACAAGTATGAGGCACGCGCCGATTTGACGCACTATTCGGGAATCCTCTGGCCTTTGATCGTTTTTGATCGGTTCTGAGTGTGCGCTCGGAACAGCACGCGCTGTGCCCAAGTCCGAAGAAAGCCGAACCGCGAGAGTTCACTGTGCCAGGTTCCTATTGCCATCGATGAAGCTGATGATGATTTCCGGCAGCTCTTGCGCAAGATGGGGCAAGGGAGTGCTGGTGAGGGCTCGAGTGATAGCGCGAGAAAAAGACCGATTATCAATTTCTGGAGTCCCATGTACAGAAAAGCTTCCGGAGAGGTTCAGCGTTCGAGTCGAATTGAGTGACAGTGGGATGCAGTGCCCGTTTAATCCGAGAAATTGATGTGTGACTGATCGTGACATTGAACACCTGACTCTTGCTGTTCTTTCTGATGTCATCACCATCGTCACTGCTTCCGCCCTGCTGCCAGCCTGAAGAATGTTGGCCACTGTGAAACCACAACGCCTGCGAAATGTTCAAGTCGCAGAGTGCCTGCATGAGCCCGGCATGTGCTTTGACGCCGCCGGCATTTCTGCGTCGATTGATGACTTCTCTGTCTCACGAGACCCCTACCAAATTTTGTCCTGGGCACGACAGTGGATGAACGGTCAAAACTGATTCGCTGCTATCCTGATGCGTAATCTTTTACCTGATGTGTCCCCCATGTCACGGTAGCGAAGCGGTATTGATAAGAGGGTGGCCGGGCCCTGTATTCTCCCTCCCACCATGTCGACCCAGAAACTACCCTAACCCGGTCTTTTCCATCCATGAAAAGCCTCCAGGCCTCTCGGAAAATGCGTTCAAGGTGAAGGTGAATGCCTTTGTAGACATGTACCTGGGTGCCGCGGCTGCCAAGGAGTTCATCCTGAGCGCTCACCTGGTACGATATCTCGTCTTCGTCGATCACTGTGTCTTTGAAGCTCCTGGATGCAGATTTTCTCCACGAACGAGGTTGACAGTCTCGCGCCTCGCATGGGCGTGCAGCCATCATCGCTCCTTGCGTGTGTGATCTACGAACTCGAGGTCAGTGCAATGCCATTTGGAACCTTGTGCCTCGCATGCATGAGCTGATCGACGACTGTAGAGCAAAGCACATGTCGAGCAAGTGCGCTCGCTTCGATTCCTTTCTCATTTATTACAGGCTCATGAGATGAAGATTCCCGGCGACCCGAGCTTCAGACCAGTTTTCCAGGCTGACGATCAGCTGGAGCTTCACCCTAATCGGCATTGCTTTCGTTGCTGACGTCAGTGATCTCGTCCTCGGCCCCGTTGGTTCCGACGACAAAAAATACCGTGGCATTTGGCCGGTATAAAGCACCGGCAGGCCGTGTCTCGAAGTTCTACGCGGAGATTCAAGACGTCGCGCACAAACTTGGCGAGATTGGGAGTGTCAGGAACAAACCCCAGCTCTTGCGAACTGTGAGTCGTGGCGTGAAGTCGTAAACTCGAATCGAAATCAACGAGTCCAACGGTCGACTTTTCGATCCATAGTACAAAGCCACTCATGCTGCGAATCGGTTCTTCGCAGCGTACGGTCGAGCACCAGCCGAGGAGTATTTTGTCATCCGTGCGGACTCCGAGGTGATTTTTCAGTCTCGCTCCCGATACCGTTTATGCCTGACATCGACCACGGCAGACTTTCGAGGATCTTCAATAGGTAGGCCTGGTTTTTTTTCACGTCTATGCATGCTGCGGAATTCTAATCATCTCATCACCAGTTGCTGCAAAATCCGGCGAATACATCGTTGAAGCAGGAATTCATCAAGGCGATACAGCCGGCCCGGGCCCATGTGTTCAGTGCACAAGTGGTCAGGAAGATTTGAAGTGTTGTCAGTCGAAATGCGAGTCCTTTTATCCGATAGTCCGATGTGACGCAAAATTTTCTCGTGTATGATCAACTGTGAGGATCGGGAGTTGAATACTATCGCAGTTTGCATGACGAGTGGCTACGGGAAGTTCGGTATCATTTTTGCAGTAAGAGTCTATGTTGTATGTCTCTTTGTGACTCGTAAGAATACTTTGACGTAGATGCTCATTTTCAGACGTTCTTACAAATGTCCGTCTTTCGATCCCAGATAGACAGAAACGTAGGTGGACGGCACCCGAAGTTTGCCGGTAGCTTCACTTTTGTGTGGGAAGTAGATGTCTCTTGGTGAAGCAAACAGTATGCAAGTCAATGATATCCATCGGATAATTCTTTTAACCGACTCTCCCGTCCATCTCGCTAGCAAAAAATTACCTGTAAGCAGATGGCTTCTTGTTCCGATGTTTGACTCACAAACGCACAGTACGACAATATGCAGCGGAAACTCGTGATCACTGACCACAAGGGACAAAATTACAAGGATTTGCAAGTGCTTGTTGTAAGCCACATTTGATTTCAGTCTGAGATTCGGATTATGGGTTACTTTTCGCACAAAACACCCAAGCATTCACGGCCACCCACGAAGGCTTAAAGTAACTTTCATATTTGTGCATTTGAAACAATGACATCGGCACTGTCGGCCATTTTACATACATACAACAAATTCACTTACTCCCTACCAACAGCTGAAAAGCTGGGATTGTTCACAATGACACCGCCAGGCACCCCACCATCCAGAACACCGTCCAGCACCAACTCGAGCTCCGGGTTGACGGCGGTGTCTGTCATCGACCAGAGCGCCACCGCAACTGTGTTTTTACCGGAGAAGTCGAGGATGCCTTCATGTACCGGGAACTTCGCTTGCGGGCTGAACGTAAAGTTAGAGGACTAACACATGATGGACCACCGGTCGTCAAGACACGCACCCGAGATTGCCCACCCGTTTACCCATCATCCATCCATTCACGAACAGATACACGCGGTATGCCTGACCAAGCGGCTCGCCGAAGTTGAAGCTCAGGAATACTTCCGTGCCTTTGGCGAACGACAGATCGAGCTCGGTGACGAAGAACCCGACGCCAGCACCGCCACTCGGCAGCCCACGCTTGAGATCGCGCTTGACCCATGCGCTCGTGTCGAAGCCGGGTAAATGCCACCCCTTGCGCTCGCCAAACAATCCGCCTTCGTTCATGATTCCACGCGTTTTGTCCGGGAAGCCGAGATAGCCGCCAACTTTGCCCTGGACTTTCCAGCTGCCGAAGGCGTTCGGGCTGGGCGAGAGCGAGAAGCCGCGTACACCGCGAGGTGACTTGATCGTGTCCGGGGCTGGTGAAGCGTAAGATCTCGAAGAGATAGGAGAGCAAGTGGGAGATACGCACTGTTACCACTCTCGTCCAATCCCATGTTATCCTGCACGATCGTGATGACGTTGTCGCCGGTCTTGACGGCCCCAGCGGGGAATTTGAACGTCTCGTCAGTCTCCTCGATGATGTTCGCGTTGTTTGTGGAGCTGTTGCCAAATCGTAGTCTGTTGCACGCTGACTGGGGTGTACTCACTTTCCAAACGCGGTGCCCAAGAATACATCATTCAACCACACACTAGCAGCGAACGCTGCATCCTGGTCAGTGTCCAGTCAACTCGAACGCCGGAAGTAGGACTCACCCTCCCCTCCGTTGATAGACAGGTTCGCGCTGGTCGGAGCGGCCGATCCACCCGATGAGTTGAAATGCCCTCGCCAAAGCACGATGTTCTCGCAGCTGCAGAACAGTCAGTCAGCGTCCGAAATCCATCCGTAGTCAAGGCTCACAATCCATAGTCGCAACCGTACAAGATTCGTCCATCTCCATAGTTCATTGGGTTCGGGATGTTCGAGGTGGTGTGGTTGGCCTCAACCCAGCTCGCATCATCGAACGCGGACTGGATCTCGGGTAGCGAATCAGCGTACTTCCACCCAGCCAGCTTCGGGATCTTGATCTTCGTGGCCGCAGATCGCGGAGCCAGGCTTCCGACCAATGACCCAGCGGACGCTGATGTAGTGTGCACAGCAGCACCGTTCCAGGTGACATGCTTTACTCCCGGCGGGCCGAAGACGGTGAGTGGGACGGTCGCATTGAGATCGCCGACGAGGGCCAGGGTAGAGCCGGAGATGGTGGCAGTGCGCAAGAGGTACGGGCCGCCCACGAGCAGAGTGTCGTTCGTCCCAATCGCCCAGAAATTGCCGAACTCGCCGCTGGTCGAGAGCGCTGGGGCCCAGAACGTCGCGGCAGTTGCATAGTCGGCGTACAGAACCAGTTGCGCGGAAGACTCGTGCAGAGTCGTCAGACCGGTGAGACCGGGATGTAAGGCGATGAGTGTCGTCCCATTGACACTTCCGGATTGGCTGATCAGGGAAGACTTGCTTGAGCTTGAGGTGCCTGAGAGTTTGAGACGGATCTCGTGCGATTCCGAAGGTTGGCCGTATAGGAACAGTACGTCACGCGAGCCAATTTTGCCGGCGTAGAAGATCTGCGCAGTCGTGTAATCCACGAGCGACGATCCGAATGCGTAGTCAGTGATAACAAGTTTGGATTCTCGGCCAGACAGTGTGATCTGTGGCACGACGAGTGGGATGGTCAACGACGGTGAAAGCGACGTCGAAATCGTCATTTTGAAGTTGGTGATCGCCCTGTAAACTGGCATAAGAACAGTGACAGCGGAGCCAGAGCAATAGCGCACGTGGAGGTCGAGTCTCTTTGTCTCAGTATATAGAATCCACTTTTCGAGTCAGGGTTCTTCAGCAGAGTGTAGAATGCGGCCACATCCGTGGTATTGGGCAGCCCGCCAGTTGCGCTGGTATCCCCGATCCAGTCCGTCTTGTAAAACGCGGGCGAACTACGCAGGAAGATACCTTGCAGCTTCAGTTCGTCGAATTTGGGCGTCAGTGCACGGTTCTCAGAAATCGAAGAGCCGTAGTCGTAAGACGAGTAGACTCCCCTGATTGTTCATTCTCAGTTGGATCATAGACACAGTGCAGTGACTGACCTGAAGGGGAACGCTCCCCAACTTGTGCCTCTGCGATAGCCAATCAGATCGTGCCGTCTCCCCGCCGAAGAAGTTCGTATACGCACCCGTACAACATGTAATAACTGATCAACTTAGCGTTTGCGGCCCAGAGATTCTTGTTGAACACAGACTGGAACGCAGGGCCAGTGAGCTGTGCGCAGGCTGCGTATCCCGGAGCAGTTGGGCCCCACGCGTCGAACGAGCCGCCCTGGAACTCCGGGAAGTAGAAAGGTTGCGCAGGACTATAGCGAAGATGAGCATATTCCCTATCTCACGCATGCGGTCGGCAGACACTCACTCGGCTTGTTCGTGGTAGGAGTGGTAGTTGGTTGGGGCACTATTCCATTTGGTCGGGTTGGCGCAGTCGAATAGCTGAGGATACGAGTCCAAACTAAGGGCCGTCAGTCGTTGAGCATGTACATTTCGAGAAGAGAAGGCACCCATAGAGATCCACCGCGCCCTAGTGGTGCTCGTCAGCCGTCAGCATCCAAAGCGAGAATGTGCAGGCTCACAGTTCCGTTAATGAAGTTGGATCCCTCTCCTGGGTCGTTGTAGGTGAGGGGTACGTCGATGGAGGCATTGCGGTACGTCGCTTCGAGCATCTCGAAGTACCGCCCGGTAGTACCGTCTTGGAAGTACTCGTTGTCAACTTGCACCGCTAAAGAAGTACCACGCGTCAGCAAGAGATGGTGCGCGACAGTCACAGCTAAACAGACCAATAACTGGTCCTCCGCGGCTGATCTGAAACGGCGCAGTCTCTTTGATGATCCCTGCGATGTAATCTTGCCACGACGCTTCCCAATCGGACGCATCGCTTCGCAGCTGGCCTGCGACTTGCGATGTGATCCAGTGAGCGATGCCACCGGCCGTCGTCTCCGCGTTGATGTACTGAAGGCATAGTGACATTCAGCAACCTATCCTTCTACAGCAAACCAGGCTTGCTCACCGGACCCGGGCGAAGGACAATCCATATCCCCGTCTCCATCGCTGCATCCCAGAGTCCCTTCAACGATCGCCAGTCCTCGAAATCCACCACACCCGGCGCGGGGTTGATCGCAGCCATGTGCGTGTACACGCTGAGGGAGTTCAGGCCCGCTGCCTTGGCTTTCTGGAGGATGTCGAGCCACAAGGAGGGTACTGGAAGGCGGAAGGTGTGGAACTCGCCCGAGTGCAGGAATACGCGCTGCCCTGCGAGCGAAAGACTGTAGTTGTCGAACGAGACGAGTGGTGTGCGGGAGCGCGCAGTCAGGTCGGGGAACGAGTCCACCGGGCTGGGACGCCGGCTTTGCGCACCGAGACCCAGGGAGAGGGACACGGCGGCAGCGACTAGACCGGCTCTGAGTTTCATCGTGTGCGTGGGGTAATGCACGCTGATGCGGGGAAGGAGTGGGATCGTGCGGGGCTTTTAAGTAAGTGCAGCTGCGCCGATACCCACGTTAGCCCCCGACGACGCCATCCGCTCCTGACCGGTCCTTCTTCCACCTGATTGATTCATGCGTGCGGAGGGTTTCGAAACAGAAGGATTCAGCTGTTAATAGGGACCGTAGCCGACGCCGCGACGACTCGGCCGTTTGCTCTCGGGAATGTCGACGGGCCGGCGGTGGCTCAGTTGAGGGATAGGTCGTTCGTTACTGGGTCACGATGGAGCAGGAGTACAACAGCCTCTTCAACGACATTCTCCATCCTCTCTGGCCCCTCCCTCGTTATCTGTTGTCGCTTCATTCGACGAAGTCCTCAAGAGAGCTTGCTGGTCCCCCGGACCGGAGCCCCGCACCAGCCAGAAAAGACGTCAAAAAGAACATGCTCGAGCATGATGTAGACGACCACGTGTGAGATGAAGGTGGTGCGAAGCCTGACGAAGAAGACGGAGAAGCAGAGATCCGATGGGAAGCTGGACACACGTGAGCACCCCTGCATCACTGCAAGATGAACGTCACGTCATTTGTGACTGTTCGATTACAATCCAAATCGCACGTGAGTGTTCACGGACGCGTGGAATTTCTCCATTATATATTTTA